ACCGGGGCCGCGGATTGAGCAGCTCAGATCGGCGGATGTCCGGATGTCGGGCTCTCGGAGGCTCTCGGGAGGTACCTCGGCGGTCTTCGGCTGAGCTTGCCGCTGCTTCCCTGCTTCCCAGTGAGGCCTTTTTGTTTTTCATCGGGTGTGCTTGATCTTGATGTGTGGAGGTGTTGCACGCATGCGTTGTTCCCAGGAGGGGGGGGGGGTCAGGAATCAGGGGGCGAGGAGGAGGGACGGACGGGCGCGATGTCAGCTTTGAAACGTTTTCGGGGCGCTGTCCTCCCCGTCTTCCACGAGCACCAGTGCGCGATTACTTCTGCGCGTTTCGGGTGCTGCGATCTGGAGTTTTGTGCGCCCACGTCGCCGCTGACTGAACCGTTTGTTAGGGAGAGGTGGGGTGCGGGGGGGGGGATTCTAGGAGGCTTTTGGCAGGACGGGGGCAGGCGGCCGAGGGGTAGCAGGAGAAGAAGGCGCACGAGGAAAAGAGGGGAGGATGAGGAGGAGGAGGAGGAGGAGGAGGGAAAGGAGGAGGAGGAGGAGGAGGAGAGGAGGAGGATGAGGAGGAAGGAGGAGGAGGAGGAGGAGGAGGAGGAGGAAGGAGGAGGAGGAGGAGGAGGAGTGGAGGAGGAGGAGGAGTAGGAGGAGGAGAAGAAGGAGGAGGAGGAGGGGGAGGATGGGGGGGGAGGAGAAGGAAAGAGAGCAGGAGGGGGAGGAGGAGGAGGGAGGAGGAGGAGGAGAGGGGGAGGAGGGGGGGAGGAGGAGGAGGAGGAGAAGGAGGAGGGGAGGAGGAGGAGGAGGAGGAGGAGGGTAGGCTTTTGGTAGGTCGGGGGCAAGCGGCCGAGGGGTAACAGGAGGAGACGCACGAGGAACAGAGGGGGGAGGAGAGGAGGAGGAGGAGGAGGAGGAGGAGGAGGAGGAGGGGAGGAGGATGAGGAGGAGGAGGTAAAGGAGGTAAAGGAGGAGTCCTCGTGGCGCCACTGTCCGCGCCGGTTGGGCGGAACTCTCCCTGAGCATTCGCCAGGCGCCTCGTTCCGATCGCGAGGCCGGATAACGTCAGCACGTGCACGGATGAGTAGAGGGTGGCCTTCAAAGTGTGGTTCCCTCCCAGGCGCGTCGCGCGTCTGGCTCACGAGCGCACAGCAGCTCCACCGGTGGATGTGTGGGCGTCGCCCAGCTGCCGCCCGTGCCGAGCACGGCTCGCAGCAGCTGCGTGGACCGAGGGCGGCGCCTGTCAGGGCGAGCCTCTGCCTGCAAGTCCCCCAGCGCGAGCTACGGCAGATTGCTACTTCTCGGCAGCGCGCATAAAGGGGGGTATAGGGGGAGGGGGGACGGCTTCTTAGAGGCACCCCTGCTCCTTAGAAGGCGCGGGCCTTGTCTATGGACTCAAGGCCGAGGCCTTCTCGGAAGCAGGGTGCTTCTAAGAAGCCTTCCCCCCTCCCCCTACCCCCCTTTTTGCGCGCCGCCAAACGTCACAAAATGCGCGCGCACGAAGGGCCGTTCCTTGTCAATCCAGAGGCATCTCTGGACTGTGACGCGAGCCTTGCGAGACGGCCTCTTGGCGCTGCACATGAATAGCTGCAGGGACGGGGGGGCTCTTCTCTCGCGACGAGGCGCTCGCGTGAATCGCAGGTCGAGTCGTCGTTCCAGGGGGGCGCTCCATAGGGAACAGGACTCTTGAGAATGGGAGCCTGTGGGCAGGACGTGCGACTCTGCTGCAGCATCGCTTATGCGTCTTAGCCTTCTCGCCCTCTTCCTCCTCCGCGCGCGCGGGAGCGCGCGTGGGGAGGGGAGAGGAGAAGAGAAAGAGGAGGAGGAATCGGCGGAGATATCGCGAGGCGCGCGGGAAGATGAGGAAGAGGGAGGGGACAAAAGGATAACGGGGACGACGGCAGAAGGATGGCCGAGCGGTCGAGTAATCGAGGGGGCCTCCTTCTCTTTCTCCCAAGCGGGGGCGGGAGGAGCGCGGCACGCGTCGCCCCTGGGGCGCCAAGCCGATGCCCGCCGACTGGACAAAGGAGGAGCTGCTCAAGTCGGCCGAGTGCCAGGCCTCGTCGTCGTCGTTGCCCTCGGCGTCGCCGTGGTTCTCGTAGGTGTCGTCGTTGAGGTCGTCGTCGCTGTTGTCGGTTGCCTCGTCGGCGTCTTCGTCGTTGGCGTTGTCGTTCTCGTCATCGTTGCCGCCGCCGCGGCCGTCGTCGTTGCCGCCGTCATCGCTGCCGTCGTCCTCGTCGCCGGCGTCATTTCTCCACTCCTGGCATCGGCCTCGCCGCTACAGTCGTCGGCGGTTTCCCTCCGGAGCGTGAAAATGAGCGCCTCTCTCGAGACATCCTCCAAATCTGCTCCGAACGCGAAGGATGTTGGGCCAGAAAGCAGGCCAATCGATGTCGTCATTGCCGGCGTCGTCTCCGCACAAGAAGACCTTACGCTTATGAGGACGAGCCAAACCAGCAGTGGTCGAGCGAGTCAGGGGGAAGGCCCCCGTTGCAGACAAGTTTCAGGAGAGGAAAAAACACACAGACACAAGTGATCGTCGATGCCCAGGAAAATGTGCGAAAATATGGGAAGTGGTGGGGAAGACAAAAACCCAGAAAATATGGGAAAATATGGGGCATATTTTTATTTGTGTGTATTTATTTATGTGTCCCAGGGCCCCTTCAAATTTGGCGAATGGAAAATATCGCGGGCCGCGCAACGGCAGGGGCCGCAGAATCTGCGCCGGGTGTGGCGAAAACCGCGCTGACGCAGCACTGCTGCTTCCACTCACAAGCTGCGCGGCGCTTGGGCGAGGTCGCCGTTTAGCCCGCTCTCGCGAGGCCCCGCTGCCGCTGTCGCTTTCACGCGAACGGACCATGCGCCGCGTCCTCGCGGAATTCTTGTTGATTTCCAAACAATGTTCGCGCGGAGTTCGGGCGACGGTGCCAATTCGCCCACTCGCGCGGGCCCACCATAACGCGCGAATGACAAAAATATTCGCCGCGTCGGGGCGAGAACTCCGTCTTCTAGCGAAATCGGCGCGGCGCCGAGGCGAGAACGACATGCTCGTGCGCTCGCGCGTCAATTGAGCTGCGCGCGAATCGCGTGCGCCGCGCCACCGAATGAATCCATTGTTCCAGAAGGATGAGCTCGGAGCCGAAGCGAGAGCGATCAGTCGGCCGCTGGCGCAGGATCTGCGCCGCGTCACGCTCCGGCCGCGCATTTTGTAGCGTCGACGACAAAACGCCAGTTGTTTTTGTAGTTGTTTTTGTTAGTTGTTTTGTTGTTAATTGTTTTTCGTTGTTTTTGACGGAGAGGGTGGAGGAGGTTTTTTAGTTGTTTTTTTAGTTGTTGTTTTAGTTGTTTTAGTTTGTTGAGACGGGACATGTGGTTTTTGTAGTTGTTTTTGACAAATCGGATGGGGCGTGTCGGACGTGGCCCCTGCCGGCCGGATCCGTCGCAGAGCAGGAGCGTATACCAACAGGGTATCAGGACGTGGTTGCGACTGCAGAGCGGTGTCCAGGAGGGAACACGAGAAGCAGGAAGAGGAAGAGGAGGAGGAGGAGGAGGAGGAGGAGGAGGAGGTGGAAACACACCTGGGATCCAGACGGGGCCCATCCTGGGTTCCAAGACGTGCTCTCGAAAGCCGAACTCGCGGAGAGATGTCGGGGAGGGCGTTTTCGATGCTCGTCTTCCGCATTCTCCTCTACCTCCCTTCTCCTCCCCCTCTTCCCTGTCCTCCTCCTCCTGCTCCTCGCTTTCGCGGCGCGCGCCCCCCCCCCCCCCCCCCCCCCCACACCCACCCAGGGAGACCTTCCCAACAAAAATGTTCCACCTCTCGTCCTCCTCGCCTTCCCCTCATCCAACACTCGGGGGCGGCAAAGAGGGGGGTGATGACCAGGGGGGGATGGATACCATGGCGGGGGCCAGCGCCTCTTCTTATTTCATTACGTCCCTGGCCCCCCCGCTGGGCCGCGCACATGCCGCCGGTCAAGATTTGCCCCCCCCCCCCCCCCCCCCTCTTGGACACCCCCCTTTGGGCCGCTCTCGGTCGTTGTCCCTCCGCCGTGGTGTCTTGCCCTGGCGCCCCCTTCGCTCGTCTTTTTCGGGCCCTCGTCCGGTGGTCCCCGCTCCTTGCCGTGCGATGCAGCGCATGGGAGTGAGCTTTAAGTCGGGCATGTCCCTCCACAGGGGGAATATTCAAAAATGGTAAAGAAATAGTCAGGGGACGATTTCTCACTATTTTTGATTTCTTGGGGGGCATTCTTTGAGTATTTTTCATTTTTCGCCCAGAATCCCCCTGTAGGGGGACACGCCCGACTTAAAGTCAGCTGTTGATCCAATCCCACGTCCGAAAACAGCCAGGCCCTGCTCGCGGCAGAGCAGGACCGGAAGAGGACCGAGTACCGCGCGCTGGGCGGGCAGACCAACAGCGAGCCAGGCAGCAAGAAGCGGCTGCCGTACCTCTGAGGCGGTCGGCGCAGGGGTTTGCCGTCGGCGCACGTCACGGATCGACGGCGACACCGACGTCATCTCGTACATTATTTGGAGGTTGTCGTCGCCACGCCTGGGCGCAGCTCGGAAATCTTGCCAGGACAGTTCCTTCAGGGGGCTTGGGACTGATTTCGAGCGGCTTTTGGTCGACGCCGTGTTTCGTCGCTCGCAGATGTCCAGCTTTGTGGATCGAGGTGGTCGGGAGTTGTTCAGCTTGGCTAATCTTCAGGTTCTGCAGACCCCCACTTGGATCACCGCGGGGGTGCTAAGGGAGCACGGGGGTTCTCAGTGGATGCTTTGCTGGGCTGCACCTGACGGCCTCGCATACATGTGGGCTGCTAGTGCCTTAAGTTGCTAGGAGGGATCAGATAACTCCGCCAAATGGGCGGAGCCCGCTTCGCCTGTACCTGTGACACCTTGTGCACCTTGTGCGCCCATAAGGACCCCCCCCGGATCCCCAAAAGGGGCACGATAGGTGGACGGCTCTTCGGCCATCGCTGCTACCCCCCCAGAAAGCAACGCCCGAACGGCATCAGCAGGTGCGGACAGACCTGCTGCGCCGCAAGAAGAGAGCATATTACACAGGGGAGCAACGAGGGAGGCGATGACGGAGACGTCAACGAGGGCTGAAGTTGACGAGCGTGAAGGTCCACGAGTGCTGGAGGCTACGGTGCGCTCCTCTCATTGTGGAGGGCGCGTTGACGACCGGTCGTGTGCTCCCCGTGCAGTTCACAGCCGGTTCTCACTGCCGTGTGCGTTGGGACATGGGGTCGGCAGCCAGGGCCCCCCCCCCTCCCCTGACGTTGCGCGCACGGCGCTGCGCTCGTGGGCTGCATTTGTAAACTTCGTGGGCGAGGCTGGTCACATCCTTCCCGCCGCCGGCATCAAGAGAGCATTGCTGGATGTCTCCGCGCGTGGGGCTGCAAGCCGAAGGGAAAGCCAGCCAGCGAAGGATGCTCTTGCCGACACCATTCCACATCACTTCCACTGAGGACGCATCGCCCAAAAGTCTGCCGCGCGGCAGGCCATGCTGAGTTTGAGGTGGTGCATATTGGAAACGCTTGGCGTAACCATGCCACTAAACGGAAACACTCGGACCGATAAGCTAGAGGGGTAGAGATCATGGCACAGACTGAATTCGCAGTGGCTGAGTCCCTAGCTGTCGCGGACAAGGCCACGCTGGAACACGGGCTGATTGTTTTCGCAGCAGCGGGGGCTGGAGTGTGTGCCTCATGGGCGCGGAGCGTGTCGTGCTGCATTTGCAGTGCTTGAACACGTACCGAAGGGGCGAAGAGGTGGTGGAGGACGAGGAGGTATCCCGAGGTTTCGCGCGCAGGAGGTGGATGTGTTTGGACGTGTCGTCGGCGTCAGCGGCGGCGTCAGCATCGTCGCCGGCGCCCTCGGCGATCGCCGGGGTCGAAGGACGAGGGCGCCGAGGAACATGAGGAGAAGGAGGAGGCGGAGAAGGAGGGAAAAGCATGAGAAGGGGGACCAACGGGGTGCGGATGAAGCGAAGAAGGAATATGCAAGGAGGAGAGGGGAGAAGGGCGAAGGAGCAAGTTTGAAAAGGAGGGAAAAAGGAGGGGGTGTTCGGCGGTGTCCTGAAGTTTCCCATCGCTTCTGTGTTTCCCGAACTGCGCGTTGTTTGCGGCTCTAATGAAGGTCAAGTCGAGTTCTAGATCTCTTCCAGGGAGACCTTGGCTAGGCTGATGTTTCCTTGGAGGTTGGAGCAGGAATAGTTCGGAGGAGTTCTGAGCTTGTCATCTTTTCATCGTGTGTTTGTGGGGGAAGGCGAGCTTTGCCCGTCTTGGGACCAGGCCAGGAGTTCGGGATCTCGCATGTCGTTCGTTCGCCTGGGTGCCTTCAAAGGCCCGAAAAGAGCCGCAAAGGTGAAACGCCTGGGAGAACAGCTAACCTCTTTATCCTCGCTGGGAATGCGATCGGGCAAAGCATCGGGAGGATCATCCTTGGCACTTTTTATGCCGCAAGAATCTCGCCTGCAGGCTCCGCAGGCGCTTCCACGGCCCTTGCGAAGCACGGGAGAGGCAGGTTGCCAATAGCTTGTCAAGTCCACTGCCTCATCCCGTTCGGTTTTTGAGAGCCTGTCCACAGCCGCCAATGCGACATTCGTTCCACTCGCTGCGTCTGAGGACGAAGAATGCGCACATGGGAAATTATGTGAGCCGCGACGGGTGGAGATGTTGCCCCTGGCAGCCTGCAGCCCTGCCCCTGCCCTCGGCCACTTCCTGGTCTCGGCCTGAGTTGCGGCGGTAGGCCTGTTGGGGCTAGGTAATTTAGGACCTCGCGCGGCCCGCTCGGACCTTGACACGCCGTCGGCGCGCTCGCCTGCGGCTGGTAACAAAAACAAAGGTGGAGATGCGCCGGGCGCAGAAGTGCCATCCCACCGTCGCGTCTTCGGGTGCGCAGCTGCCCCCTGGGCGAGAGGGTGCGGGCCAAGAGCAGGCCGCGGAGATCACACCCCACGAGGGCTCGAGCGAGGACGCGCGCCGGAGAGGAGGCGGTCCGGGAGCAGGAGCGACCCCCGCCGTCTGTTCGGAGGCAACTCCCTGGAGGTCAACTTCTGATTTTGCCCTGGTCCGAAGTCCCGCTCAATCCGGCTCAATCCCGCTTCATCCTGCTTACAGTCAACGCGCCTAGTAAGGACGCGCGCCTTCATCTAGGGTGCTCTTGTGTCCTTGCCTCTGAGGCCCGTCCTTGCCATTCTCACTGGTCGCCCGCCGCCCTAAAAAACCCAACTTCGGCCTCCAAGGGTCTTGCGTCCTTATCACCCGTCCTTAATGCACGTTTTGACTGTAGTCCCGCTCAATCCGAAGCCCGCTCTGGCGCAACAGCCCCGCAGTGGGGCTCGGGTCCTCCTTAAATCTTTCCGACGGAGACCTCCCGGCAGCTGCTTCCCAACGTCGGGGGCGCGCCGCCCTCCCCGCGGCTCGGGAACAGCAGCGGCGGAGGGGGCGGAGCCAGACAACCCAGAGATCCGATGTCGCGCTTGTTTCACTACGGGGTCCCCTCTCCTCCTCGCCCTCCTCGTCCTCCTCGCCTTCTTCGTCCTCCCTCGAAGGTCGTCCTCTCCCTTCGGGAGGGGCGAAGGACGTCCTTCGAGAGGACGGTCGTCGAAGGAAACCCTTCCTCCTCTTTCCGGAGGTCCCGACCCTTTCCCCGGGACTGGTTTCTCATCCCGGGTCATTTTGTTGACGATCTCGGGGCCCGGCGGGGGCCCCCAGAGGCCAAGAATTCTAGACGCTTCGCGTGTCCCCGCCAGTGGTGTGGATCGTGGCGTGAGTGCTCTGAGGTTCCTGCCGTTCCTTTGCCCCTGTCTCCGCCGACCCCGCGCACGGCGGTGGTACGGTCTTCGCGCTGAGTGGTTCAGCCTTCAGCGTTGTAGTTTCGGTTCTCCCCGCCCACTTTCGGCTAGGGGAGCTGCTCGGAGCTTGGCGCCGACAGGGCGACTTTCTCCGTTGCACCCGCACTGCTGTCTGCTCCACTTCGGTGTGGCCGGCGCCTATGTGCGTTTGCCCTAATGCGGGGCATTTTGCGCAGTGCATGTGTACTCCACGCATCGCGTGTAATTTGCCGTGTCCCGTTGCCCCGGGCATCGCTGTTGCCGCCAAACCGTTGTCGCGCGGCCGCCGACCAACAAAAACACATGTCCCCGCCAGTGTAGCTAATTTACCTCGTTCGTGCCCCGGACTTTGCTTCTCGCCGCCTGACCTTTGTCGCGCGGCCGCGACCGAACAAAAAGTGTCCTCGCCAGCCCATCCAGAAACGATGTGCAGGTTGGTTGAGGTGATCAGGGAAGTGCGGCAGCAAAGAGGGGGACGGCCGAACCGTGCAAAGGAGTGAGGAGGAGAAGGAGGAGGAGGTGGATGGATGGATGGATGGATGAGGGAGTGGCAAGAAGGAGGATAAATAGGATGAGGAGGAGGCGGAGAAGGAGGAGGAGAAGGAGGAAAAGGAGGAGGAAGAAGAGAAGGAGTAGGAGGAGGAAGGAGGAACAGGAGGAGGAGGAGGAGGAGGAGGAGGAGGAGGGCAAACACATGGGCCAGAGGTCTCTTGGATGCCTCTCGGAACCTCTTGGGGTATCTTTTGGGCGATTATTGGTGGCCTTTTGGGACGTCTCGAGGGTCTCTTCGCGATCCTGGGGTGCTCTTCGGGGTCTTGGGTGCATCGGGGGGGCCTCTTGGGGCCGCTTGGGATCTTCTTGGGGGCCTCCTGGGGGCCTCGTGGGCGCCTCTTGGGGCCATCTCGGGGCCATCTGGGGACCTCTTGGGGCATCCTGGGCGGGCTCTTCGGGGTTTTGGGTGCCTCGGGGGGGCCTCTTGGGGCCGCTTGGGATCCTTTGGGGGGCCTCCTGGGGGCCTCTTGGGGGCCTCTTGGGGCCATCTCGGGGCCATCTTGGGACCTTTTGGGGCCTCCTGGGCGCTTCTTGGGGCCATCTTGGAGGAGATCGATCAAACAAGAGGGGGGGTCACAATTAGGGCCCCCCCCCCAGAGGCCAAAATGGTGCCCAAACCGTAGTAACACCAATGATTTGGGTTTCCTCGCCGAGGCCGTTTTCGACGCCCTGACACCTCGCGACCGCCCCCCCTCCAGGTCCAGGGGAGGGGGTCGGGGGAGGAGTCAAGACTCCCTCCCCGCCCGCAAGCCGTCTCGCTCACCCCCACCCGCCTTCCCAACACATACGTAGCACCCGAGCCTGGCCCGAGCCGCAGCATATTCAGCAGTCATCTTTGGATGGCCAGCTACTGGGGGGCAATCCGCCGCCGCCGCCGCCTCCGCCGCTGCCGCCGCCACCCGCCGCCGCCGCCGGCGCCGCGCCGCCGCCGCCGCCGCTGTCCGCCGCCGCCGCCACCGCGCTGCCCGCCGCCGCCGCCCGCCGCCGCCGCCGCCGCCGCCCCCGCTGCCAAATCGCCGCCGCCGCCGCCGCCGCTGTCGCCCCCGCTGCTGAAGCGCCGCCGCCGAATTGCCGCCGCCGCCGCCGCTGCCACCGCCGCAGTCGCGCAGCCGCTGCCCCCGCCGCAGCCGCCGCCGCCGCCAAGTGTACTCTGTATTGTTTTTTGGACAGGGATGGTGGGGGGAGGCCGCATCGGGTTCGCTGCGCATGCTCCGAATTTGGAGGCAAAGTATGTTTTGTATTGTTTCTGTTAGAAGGGATTGTGGGGGGGGCCAGCATTGACCCTGGTTGGCTCCCAGTCGCCTGGGGGAGGGGGTGTATATTAATAGGGAACAGTAATAAACCCCTCCCCGAAGAGGAAAAAGGACGGGTGGAAGAGGGCAGGAATTCCCTACACCGCCGATGCCCAGAGGGCTGGTGGGACTTCGACAAATCTCCACCTTCCTTTGTTCAATACGCTGGATCCCTGGGGAGCAGAAGCGGTGGAGGAGGAAAAGCCAGACAGCGGGGAGCGGGCGGCGGGCCTGACCTCTCTCTCGCGCGGGCGGCTCAACGGCCGCGGCCCGCGGGCGAGAGATCCGACGTGCGCTCGCGGCGTGCACACGGGCAGAGGAGGCGATCGCCCGCGTTTCCTCCCGTTCCCCGTCGTCCCCTTGGCCTCGGCCCTCTCCCCGGCGCCGCCCTCCTCCCCCCTTCCGCCGGCCTTGAGGCGCGTTTGATTGTTGTTGGCCCTCCAGGGGCTCGTTTTCCTCCTCCTCCTCCTCCTCCTCCTCCTTCTCCTCCTCCTCCTCCTCCTCCCCCTCCTCCTCTTCCTCCTCCTCCTTTTCCTCGGGCCTCTGCTCTGCTGGAAGCCCCCGTGCTTGGCCGGAAGGCGCCGTTTTAGCCTCACCGCGTGAGTATTTGAGATTGCCTCGTCCTGCCTCTCGTCCCTCCATCCTTGCTCCCGCGTGCCTCGCCCACGAAGCCCGCTCTCGCCGGCGCCCGCCTCGGCGACCTGACCTGACTTGGCTCCTCCTCCTCCTCCTCCTCCTCCTCCTCCGCCCTTTCCCCTCTCTCTTCCTCCTCCTCCTCGTCCTCCTCCTCCTCCTCCTCCTCCGCCCGTTCCCCTCCCTCTTCGTCCTCCTGATGCTCGTCGCCCCCGTTGTCGTCGTGCTCTTCCTCCTTTTCCCTTCTCGTCCCGCGGGCGTCGGCCCCGTGCGGGGGGGGAGGGCTCGAGGGCCATGCCGGAGTGCACACCTGCACGGCGGCTTGAGAGGAGGCCCTTCTCGCCTCCTCTCTTTCCCTCCCTTACCAGCCTGGAACATATCCCTATCCCTATGCTGGGCACCTCCTCATCACGATGCCAATCTTAGGGATTCCCTTTTTATTTGAGGGCGGATCCCTAAGACTGTCAGCGCCTTTTGGCGTGTCAATCTTAAGGATAGGGATAAGTTCGAGGCTGGTAACCCCCCTTGTCCGTTGCCTGCCTTGTGTTGCTCCTCTTCTCTCGGATCCCCCGCACCTTCCATCCCCAGCCATCTCGTCGTCTTCGTCGCCCTCGCCCTCGCCGTCCCCCCCCCTCTCTCTTATCGTCCTTCTCCTCCGTCCCCCGTCCTACCCTCTGCCCTATCTTCTCACTCCTCTCGTCGTCATTCCTCGTCAGCATGCTTCTTTCCACTCATCCACCTACTCGTCTTTTTCTTCATATTCTTCTTATTCGTCCGCTTACCAGTAGTACTATTATTATTCCTCCTCTTCTTATTGTTTGTATTGTTCTTATTATTTTTAGTCTGATTGTTCTTCCTCCTCCTCCTCCTCCTCCTCCTCCCCAGGCCCCCGACGTCATGATTTGTTCATGACGTCGACCCCACAGGTCTCGACCCATTCCCTGGGACCTCGTTTTGGTGTTGGGTCGTTCTTTGACGGTCCCGCGGCTCGGTAAGGGCACCCCAGAGGCGAAACATAGCGACACGTTGTCCGCCGTGTTCTTTTATGACTCGAGGGGGTCTGGGTCTTCCGCATAGCCCAGGGAAGGACACGGGCGCTCCTCGTCCTTCTCATGTCCCTCTGCACCCACGATGCAGCTGGGCCGCTGAAGAAGGAACCCTCCTCGTTGGGGAGGGACGCAGTGTTCCTGAATCGTGCTGCCGTTTGTCCTAGGCTTCCCATGGGGAATCGAGGCTCCTTGTTTTGAAGAAGGGGTTCATCCTTCCTCATTCGGCGCTCCTGATGTCAGCAGCCTGGCCGTGTCCTGACGCCCCCCCACCCCCCCCCGGCGGGCCCTCTTCGCGGCCCCACTCGGCCCTCGCTCCCCCACATGTGCCCCGACAGCAGCGCGCCGGGAGCCCTCTGCTCGACTCCACGTGAGGAATTGCCAGCCTCGAACGCATCCCTATCCCTAAGATTGACACGCCAAAAGGCGATGACAATCTTAGGGATTCGCCCTCAAAAAACAAGGGAACCCCTCAGATTGGCATCGTGACGAGGAGATGCCCAGCATAGGGATAGGGATATGTTCCAGGCTGGTTAATGAAGGAAAACCTTTCGCTCGAGTGACCTTTTGGTGTGGGCCCAAGGTCCCCCCCCCGATCGCTGAACGCGATGCGACAGCAGCGTCCTGCGCGCCTGGTGGTGTTCCCGGCGAGCGGAGAACGGTGTGACATAAACGTCTTCGCCGTCGGGGGCGCCGCCTTTCCCAGGGCGGCTGGAAAGTTGATACGCTTACGGTGGCACGTCGGGGCATAGACGTTCCGGCTGCCATGGGTCAGGCGCCCCCGGTGACGCGACCCTCGACGACGACGACGACGACGACGACGACGACGACGACGACGACGACGACGACGACGACGACGACGACGACGACGACGGCGACGACGACGACGACGACGACGACGACGACGACGACGACGGCGGTGGCGGCGGCGGCGGCGACGACGACGACGAACAACAAGTTTATTTTGTACCGCTTTGCGCCCGCGAAGGCAGCCGCGCGCCGTGAGCCCTGTGCTGGCAGCCCCCCCCCGTCGCGTGCCGGTGCCTCTGCGTGGCCGCCCCGCTGGGGGCCGGCGCGCCCGGGGCGCGATGGCCGAGCGGGGCGAGTCGCCCTGCGAGCTCGTGGAGGGCGGCGTTCTCAGCAAGGACTCGCCCCCTCCTCATCCTCCTCCTGCGCCTCCTCCTCTCCCCCCTCCCCCTCAACCCTCCTCCTCCTCCTCCTCCTCCTCCTCCTCCTGCGCCTCCTCCTCCTCCTCCTCCTGCGCCTCCTCCTCCTCCTCATCCTCCTCCTCCTTGTCCTCCTGCGCCTCCTCCTCCTCCTTCTCCTCCTCCTCCTCCTTCTCCTCCCCTTCCTTGACAGATGAAGAGAGCTCGTCGTGGTCAGCATCCCCACCATCGTGCCACCACCGAGTGGCTCGTGCTCGGCTCCCCTGGCCCGTGGAGCGCGTGTGAAGGAGCTGAGATCGAGCGAGGGATTGTGCCGCGCCTCCATGTTGACCTGGACGCGAGGAGGAGGAGGAGGAGGAGGAGGAGGAGGAGGAGAAAGGTGGTGGACGGCCATAAAGACGGACAGCGCAGGCCTGAGCAGGCTGTCCTGGGTCCCAGGCTTCGCTTTTAGAGCGTTGGTGCTGGCCTCCTTCGGCGTCGACGAGTCCGAGCCCCCGAGGGCTCGTGCCCCAGGGCAACGTACTGTTAGCGCGTCCGACGATTTCGGCTGCAGAGCCGGACTCGGACGGCGCTCCGGAGTAATTTGCTGCGCTGTCCGCCTGTATGGCCTTCCACCACCACCTTCCTCCTCCCCTCTTCTTCCTCCTCCTCCCCCTCCTCCTCCTCCTCCTCATCCTCGTCCTTTTTCTCTTTCTCCTCCTCCTCCTCCTCCTCCACGAGCTCGTGCATGGCGACATTGTGGGCAAGGACTCGCCCCCTCCGCCTCCTGCTCTTCCTCCTCCTCCTCCTCCTCCGCCTCCTCCTCCTCCTCCTCCGCCTCCTCCTCCTCCTCCACCACGAGTTCGCGGATGGCGACATTCCCAGCAAGGACACGCCGCGGCTGCCGCTGCACCCTGTGTCCTCGAGGCTCGGGGGCCATGGAATTGTCAAGCCACTGGGGCGCCTGCCGAGGATTACCCGAGTCGTCCAGAGGCGTCGAGGTCGGGAGCCTCGAGACGCAGTGCAAACGGGGGCAGCCAGAGCAGCGGATTTGAGGAGGAGGAGGAGGAGGAGGAGGAGGAGGAGGAGGAGGAGGAGGAGGATGGGGAGGGAGGAGGAGGAGGAGGGGAGGAGGAGGAGGGCGGAGGCGGAGGCGGAGGAGGAGGAGGAGGAGGAGGAGGGGGAGGAGGAGGAGGAGGAGGAGGGGAGGAGGAGGAGGAGGAGGAGGAGGAGGAGGAGGAGGAGGAGGAGGAGGGAGGAGGAGAGCGGGGGCAGGAGGAGGAGGAGGAGGAGGAGGAGGAGGAGGAGGAGGAGGGGCGCAGCGACCCGGGCCAGGGTGCAGGAGCCTGCGGGGTTTTGCAGGATCCTGCACGGCCTGCCTGGCTCAGGTTCGGATGGACCCGGGCCCGTGGATCCCCGACGGAGGGTCTCCAGGCGCCTCCTGGGAGTTTGTTCATTTCTCCTGCTCCTGCTCCCGTTCTCCCCTCGCCTCCTCCTCGTCCTCCTCCTCCTCCTTCGCTTTTTTGTTGCTCCTCCTCGCCCCAGAAGAGGGTAGGTAGAGGAGGGCGAGGAAGGCCAAAGAGGCGGAGGAGGAGGAGGACGAGGAGGAGGGGAGGAGGGCGAGAGAAGCAGGAACGAGGAGGAGGAGGAGGCAGAGGAGGGGAGGAAGAAAGGGAGGAGGAGGAGGAGGAGGAGGAGGAGGAGGAGGAGGAGGAGGAGGAGGAGGAGGAGGAGGGGAAGGAGGAGGAGGGGGAGGAGGACGAGGCAGAGGAGGACGACGTTATGTCGGCACGCAAACTCGGGGAGGCAGGCGCCGTGGGCAAAGCTGCGATCATCCTCCGCGAAACACTAGAAATTGCCGGAGACGAGTTGACCCTTCAAGCCGCACCGCAGCTCTCCCCACACCATCAGACACAGCCACCAGCCGACTACGACGAACAGGACGACGAGCAGCAACAGTTCGAGCTGCACTTCGCCAAAGCCATGCGGGCCGCACCAAAACGAAGCGCAGCTGGGCCGCCATGGGTGGCGGTACGAGCACTTCCAACTCGTCCAAACTGACCTGTCCGCTCTGCGTGCCCTGGCCACAGTGGCCGCAGCACTAGCCCGCGGCACCCTCCCGCAGGAAGTCCAGGAACTGGCGACGGTCGCCCGCCTCCTCCCGCTTACCAAGAGCCCCACCCGAATCCGCCCCATCAACCTCGCCAGCCCCCTCCGCCGTCTCGCGTCCAAGGCGGTTAACAAAGTGGTGGCGGACGAGGTAGCCGAGAGGCTCCGCGGCAAGCAGTTCGGGTACAAGCACACGGCTGGGGCGGAACTGGTCCACAAGCACGTGTCCACTGCGCTCCACGTCCGCCCGGACTACGCTGTGCTCTTTCTGGACGCTGCAGACGCCTTTCAGAATCTGAGCAGGGTGTACATTAAAGAAGGCATCGGTGCTCACTGCCCAAAACTCCGCCGATGGGCAAGAGGCTTCCTACCGGACGTCGGGCAGGTATATACGA